ACTTGGATCGGAGACGGCTTGGGAATCCCAGGTGTCGTAAGCTTTTGTAGTTCACCATGACTTACTATTTGCTATCTACACAGGCCACTTTCACCATTAGAAAAAAATCCTCACACTTCATTCATTCCCTTCAATATCAACCCACTCTCTGGCTCCTAGCATCGCTTACGGCCATACCACGTTGAAAGCACGCCATCCCGTCCGATCTGGCAAGTTAAGCAACGTTGGGCCTGGTTAGTACTTGGATCGGAGACGGCTTGGGAATCCCAGGTGTCGTAAGCTTTTGTAGTTCACCATGACTTATTACTTGCTATCTACACAAGCCACTTTCACCATTAGAAAAAAAAATTCCCACACTTCATTCATTCCCTTCAATATCAACCCACTCTCCGGCTCCTAGCATCGCTTACGGCCATACCACGTTGAAAGCACGCCATCCCGTCCGATCTGGCAAGTTAAGCAACGTTGGGCCTGGTTAGTACTTGGATCGGAGACGGCTTGGGAATCCCAGGTGTCGTAAGCTTTTGTAGTTCACCATGACTTATTACTTGCTATCTACACAAGCCACTTTCACCATTAGAAAAAAAAATTCCCACACTTCATTCATTCCCTTCAATATCAACCCACTCTCCGGCTCCTAGCATCGCTTACGGCCATACCACGTTGAAAGCACGCCATCCCGTCCGATCTGGCAAGTTAAGCAACGTTGGGCCTGGTTAGTACTTGGATCGGAGACGGCTTGGGAATCCCAGGTGTCGTAAGCTTTTGTAGTTCACCATGACTTATTACTTGCTATCTACACAAGCCACTTTCACCATTAGAAAAAAAAATTCCCACACTTCATTCATTCCCTTCAATATCAACCCACTCTCCGGCTCCTAGCATCGCTTACGGCCATACCACGTTGAAAGCACGCCATCCCGTCCGATCTGGCAAGTTAAGCAACGTTGGGCCTGGTTAGTACTTGGATCGGAGACGGCTTGGGAATCCCAGGTGTCGTAAGCTTTTGTAGTTCACCATGACTTATTACTTGCTATCTACACAAGCCACTTTCACCATTAGAAAAAAAAATTCCCACACTTCATTCATTCCCTTCAATATCAACCCACTCTCCGGCTCCTAGCATCGCTTACGGCCATACCACGTTGAAAGCACGCCATCCCGTCCGATCTGGCAAGTTAAGCAACGTTGGGCCTGGTTAGTACTTGGATCGCGGGAACGGGCGCCACCCAGGGAGACAGATGTGTGAAAGGCATCTTTGCATGGTGCGGCGTAACCGTCCTTCATTTGCTCTAATTCTTTAGCGCGGTACGATTTGTTTGAGATGATAAAAACACTGACACTTACATTGTATGTCATTCCTCTTCTCCCAGCCAGTTATTTCACCGACCAATTCATGCAAATACCATCACGGTTTGAACGACTAGCGCACTCTAAAAGAGGATTTGCATCAACCACTTGTATCGCAATGTTTTGTTTTGGAACCGCTGCCCTCTCACTTGGTCAGATCAGTGATTCCATCTTATTCCTGCAGCCTAATTTAGAGTTGGTACTGTTTTCAATGCTTTAGTAAACTGAGGGTACACTTTTATTGGGTCCTTATCTTTTCTACATTGACTGTTATGATTCGTTCAGTGCCTTCACCTTTATTTCTCCTTTCACTGCCTTCCTGTATATCGATACTGCGTCTCTTGTTCGCTGACATCCCCGCACCGAATCGTCTTTGCAACCACAGTCGTATTCTGTACGGGCCATTGACCTTGACTGGGCTGTTGCGCACACTGCAATATCCAGTGAAAACGTTTAGTTTTCAGTTTTCCACTCTTATGCTTCTTTGGAATTCTTGTCTCGTTTTTGAATCAATTTTTCCTCTTGCCTAAGCCGATTCGCTAATATATGATCAATACAGTCCTCCTAAATGTTATGATTTTATGCGTTCAGTGCAATATTTGTTTGGAACAGTAAGCGGTCCAAGCCAATTGTCACAATAACACTTGACTTCGAATGATTTTCACTAATTTTTTTTTCATAGATCAAATCGGTTTTTCATCATATTATTTTATGGTTTTACCATGTATTGCACTTATTGTTTATTATATTTACATTTAACTGCAGAATCTTCTGCTTTTCGTATACTACTATTTATTTCGCTATTTCTTGAACGGATTTTTCATCAAATTTATTTTTCTCGTGTATTTTTGAAGTTTGAGGTGTAAAGTTTTCTAAAATCTTACATATAGGGAATCGCTTGGCTTATGTAACATATTCCCAGTCATTTATTAATGTATCCTTCCCGCAAGCCTCTACAGCTTGATCTTTTGTTTATATGTTGCACTATCGCCCTTCTTCAATTTTGTACTTACTGCGTTATTTTACCTCTTTCATAGCTTTCATCATCACTTTCAACGTTTCTGAATATGCCGTGAAACCACAGAACCTATTACAAATCCAGTATGTATCGTTTCTTTCCTTCTTCTTCTCGTGTTTTTTTTTAATTTTCTTCTTTTATGTTATCAGCTTACCAAATCTGTTCTTTTTGTGAGGGATGATACTTGGTGAAACAAGACCGTCGTCTTCTTTATTTCTACCAGCGAATAGATAGCGCTGCATTGCTGCAGATCGAATGATCGGAGTGGACTCGTTACACTTTGTCATCGTGCAGTTCTGCCGTATGTGCTTGCAATGAAAGCGTAGAGCTGAAGGGTAAATTTCCTTCTAAGCGTAGCTCTCAAGTTAGCCTGATTTCTCCTTATATAGGAGCTATACGAAAGTTATGTGGATTGATCCTAATTTTATGCAAGTAGCGCCTCTTAAATGATTATTCTGTTAGGGAAGTTCTTATTTTCCAGGAACTCCCGTGACACCAGAATCTTTCCGAGCTTGGAAGGAGAGGTTTGATAAGGAACGAAGGGCACTTGTTGAGAAAAAAGAAAAGGTGCGATAGTTCTCCTGTCTTTTATTTTCATTTGATGCACATTGAAATATTGAATATCTGTCGGTATCGATCATTTCCGAGGAGATTTTTGTGGAGAAACGATCAGTCTTCTCACACCTTTTTCTCCGATAAACAGCGATAAAGGTCATTATTGATTCAAATTTTGGAACGGTGTGTTTATGTTGTCTGGGACGATCACAGTTATGTTTGCATTTGTGGTGTGTCGGACAACATTTGTGATTCATCTTGACTCTCATACCGTACTATCGCTTCTTTTCAAATCTTTCACTTCTACGCATTCTTTTCATTACTACTGCGTTTTTGATATTTTGAAACCAGTTTTAAACTGCGGGAATTCCGCAGTTTCTGAACTTCACACACATTATATAATATAATAAGTAGGGATTCCTTCTTCCTAGCTTTCAAACCTTTTTTCTGAGATTTCTCTAGTTGAACTTTTAATCAAAGCTTCAAATGTACGGAAAGAATAGGCTTCGTCTTACTTGATTTGTTTTTCTTTTTCCTTACAAGTCTTTTTCTTCGATCACCAAGGAGCGCTTATCACTTCGATAAGACAATTTTATGGGGCCGATTTCTCTATTTTCTCTTTCTCTCTCTCTTCTCTTCTTTTGTGAAGGGAGGAAACCACAAGAATTCCTAGGATCTCATCTTTCTTCAAATCTTCAAAGCTTCTCTCGAAGCGGGAAAATGTCGTCTATAATCTCCCTTAACATAAGGTGTGGTAGAAGGAGTAGGAACAAAACATTGTTTCTCCTTTTGCTTTTACATTGGCAAGATTCTTAAGGGAGCTATTCTTCGTGAACAGTTCTCAAATCATTCGATGTCTTTTCACGCATGTGTTTATGTATGCTGCGCGGCGATTTTATTTTCCTGGCCGACATCTTATGACGGATTTTAATAGAAGATCATTCCATCGATACATCGAGTCTGATCAGAGGATGAATCGACTCTTCTTTTCTTCGGAAATAGGTATTCGTTACTCTGCGATCACTTGGACTTTATTCTTCATCATTGTGTAGATTAACATCAGTTAAGCCTTTTATTCATCCGCTCCTGATATTTTTTCATTGCCTAGTTGCCCTTTCTATATTGTGGAGACAAGTAGTGGTGGGTGAAAGGTGATGAATTGTGATTTGTCATTCCCTGACACCCACTCGTCCGGTTAAATTCTTCTGATGACTCATCAATTTTTTGTTGCGCCGTCCTTCTTCCGTCTATTCACGCACGCGTGTTTGCAGACTCCATTATTAGTGCTTGGAACAATATCGTCGCGCGCAGTCAGTCTCCTTTCAATTAACGACTCTTGTTGCAATCATTTTCTGAAATTTTCCTCGGCGTGATACAGCTGCAGGATAGGGCCCTGCAGCTGTATCATGCTTGAGAAAATTCCAGCAAGTTCTGCTTTACTCATCTTTCCACATAGTTTCCTCCACGAAAGAGGATTTACATCTTGGGAAAAGCACTTTCCAGATGGTTTCTTAGCTTCTGTTCAGTATTATGTCGCCACATTAAATTCATATGTGTGATTCCTGCCAATTATAATGTGCAGCTAATGGAGGTGTTCAATAGTTCACAAGAAATGGTTCGAACGTTTCTTTAGGAACGTGAAGCGGCGTTAGCTGGTAAATTGACGGGGCGGCAGTTATTCTTGAAGGACGCCACCCTAAATCTTTCCGATGTGGCGCTGATCGAGCAAAGTGTGGAGATAGACGAATCATTGTTCGATGAGGTTAGTTCGGCCATAGCCTTTGCTTCAAAGTTTACTTTTTAACGGCTTTTGATGAACGAGTGAAGCGCAATTCATGGATACTAATGAGCTTCAGGCTTCTGAGTAATTTAGGTATTTTGAGGCAAATATCCCTGTATCAACTGTCCTAACATGAATACTTTTTTCGAGTGACAGAGTACTTTTTTGATAGTACATTTTGGATTATGGCGAACTGGATTTTCTAGTTTCGTAATCCATGTAGAAGTGTAACGATTCGGTTGTTTGGAGTTAAACATTCAAATTTTGCCGTTGATTGTGGTACCATTGAGTATGCAGTAAGGTCTGTAGTGTAATATCAAAGCAATCTGGATGTTTTCAGGAAATCGATGGACTCGATATTGACTCGGATGAGGACTAGCAGCGTTCGAATGTGAAGAAGTCTGACATATCATGAGGCCAAACATTGTTGTACTCTAAATGCGTAGTGTTTTAGGCTCAAATTATACGCTAAATCTATGTGCGAACTACGAAGTTGTCGGGTATTTCTTGTCATTTTTGTTAATTGTTGGAGATGTTGTATATGAGATCTATTAAATATTGTTTTTCGTCGTCTGGTCTGTTTACTCAAAACGGTGCAGTCAATAGAATATCTGTCCAAACTGAGCAACTTCATTGTGTGTTCATATTCTGTTATAAAGTCCCATTTTCGATTACAGAATGTCATACTCAGACGGCAGGGCGTCGTCCAGCCGTGGTTCGGGGAATAGTCGAAATTCGGTCAGTTTAAGTTACTGGTGAACTTGTTGTTCTATTTTTCTACACATATCTCAGTTTGAATTGTTTCCTTTTACATTGTTTTGCGGTGAATCTAGAGCGGACGGATTTATAATAGATATGTGTATTTTTCCTTAGAAATATAAAAATAATCATGCTGTTTAGAACGGACGCAACCACGTGACGCCTATCCACATTCATCACTCACATATACCAACGATGCCTTCATTGTTACAGGTTAAATAGCTTTAATTTTGAATGTGCTGCTCTAGTGTTGCTGTACTGCTACTTTTTCTTATCCTATTTGAGAAATTGATTTTTGTTCAGATGAAGGCTATGAAACTTTCGAGAATAACGCTATGACGCGACTTTCAGAATATTTGTTCAGGTGAAGTCTAAATTTGATTCGGAATGGAGAAGGTTTTCTCTGACAGCGCTGAGCAAAATACATTTTGATTGGACCAACTTCCTGGCTGTCTCCGGCGTCAGGGAAACTAAAAAGTGAGCTGAACTTTGCACTCCAATTTTACCAGCGAATGGATCACATTTTAGAATAAGTGAATTACCCGCATGAAATTTGTCAGAAAATACAGGAATAACATGCTCACCTGACGGAAATCCTCGGGATTAGAGATCGAATAATTCCTTCTAGGCGCTTTTTGCACAGGTATCAGTGCAGAAAGACCCTTCCTCCTCCTAAAAATCCATTTCCAACATGTCACGAACAACATTTAAACATCAAGAAATATTGCATACCTATCACTATCTGTACCGTAGCCGTATTTCTCTTCCCAAGACTCGCCTTTTCGCTGGATAAGTAGACGAAGCGTTGGGCGGGCGGACTCGAACGATTTACGAAGATTCTGCAGAAACACTCTGTTATCATACATACATTAAGCGAATACAGCATTACTTTGTAATTTTCGAGCAACACTTGCCTCATCATTTGTTATGGGGAGCAGATCTCCTCCAGCAGAATTGTAACATAGCGTGAAAGGAACGCTCTCGAGATGGTGCAACTTTTCCACGAGAGCTCGGAAACTGTCATACGAATACACTTCTGGACTTCCTGCTGTCAGAGAAAACCTTCTCCATTCCGAATCAAATTTAGACTTCACCTGAACGAATATTCTGAAAGTCGCGTCATAGCATTATTCTCGAAAGT